TTGAGCGTGAGAGTTGCTATAGAAGAGACATTGGTTAAAACAGGATCTAGGTCCTCTGGTGAGTTACAGTGATTATATGTGCCATTTAGATGTCTGTTTTCTTTGAAAAGGGTATAATTCAGTTTTGTATAGCCACTGATAATTCGTGAAATTGTTTTGTCTGAATAGTAACTGATTTATTAAGTGATTTCAGTACTGATGTTATATGAACGAGAATATTAATTAAATCGGGTCGGATGCTGGAATGCTTGTTTTGAATTTTTGTTATGGAGCGAAAAGAGTGTGAAATTATAAAAAAATTGAATTGGTTTATATTTGTGTGCTGTTGAGATGGCTAGTAACCAGTGTTGTAATAGAGTGATTATATTTTTCATTATGGTTGTTTGTGGTTATTTAGATGGGTTGGTCTACATGGATACCTATGACGGTGGTTGTTTTTTGTTTGTGATCCATCGCTATAAATATGGGTATGTGTTGGCCAGTTTGTTTTTATGTAACTGAGTACTGTTGTTGTTTTCTTCTGTTTTGGTTACGTTAGGTGGAGCTTGTAGTGTATTGTGAAGCGAGGTGTCTGTTTCAGGAGGAGTTTTGTCATGAATGCATTCATTTGCCTAGGGGGCATGTTGTATGTTATTCAGGTTGTGTGTTTGGAGAAGTTTATGGAGATGTGTTAAGTATGGGGCTTACTTGGGGTTGGTTTTGAATATTTGAGTGTAGATTTTCTTGTTTTGTATTTTGTTGTGATTTGTTTGCAGATAGGGTTATGTAGTACACCAGCCCCGTAATTTAAGCGGATTTGTTGCCTTCTGTGAGTGATTGAAGTTAAAAAGGGTCGGCGACAGGGTGCTACCTTGACGGCTGCCATTTTCTAATGCATCAGATAGGGTATTATGAGATTTGACTGTTATGTTTCTGTCAGAAAGGAGGGATGAATTTAAAATGGCTTTTTTCCAGTTTTTGAATGAGGCTATTGTGCCAAGTCTATAAATATGGCCAGACTGTATTGTGTTTTGTGCTTGTGCTTTCTGGTGTCTTGTTCTATATGTAAAATTAAATATGTCTATTTCATTAAAGTTTGTCTATTGGATGTGAAACCAATCAGGACTGATTGGTATTTATTATATATAGATTCCATAATTTTACAAATGTGGGAGGGAAGCGAGATGTTGGCGTCAGGAGTCCGGCTCATTGTGGGGTTTCCCCGGTTTAAGGACTGGTACCACCTTAGCTTGTTTCCATTGTTGGGGTAGTTTGCCGGTTTTCCGTATTTGGTTACAAAATTTGTAATAATAGTGTCAGAATTTTCATTGGATTTGTTTGGAATAGTGTAACTAATGGTACGAGTATGTAGGCCTGTGGCTGTGGCTATGTTATTTTTTTGTTTTTAAGAGTTGTTCATAATTCTTGTATGGTTACGGTTTTGTTGATTGGTAGGTGCGTGCGGTCTAGTCTTTAGTTCCAGATAGTATTTTTAATATTTATGTTTTAATTTGTTTTGTTTGTTTGTTTTTGTGGTTATATATGTATAATTGTTGTGCTGGGTATGTGGAGCTGCTTGGGTTAAGAATTTTTGTTCCACAGCGTTCTAGAAATTTGTTTGCCATTTTTTAAGGTCTTATAAAAGATTTGCCAGTGACTATTCATTGCTACCATGATAATTTGTTTGGTATTATTTCTGAGTTAATTAACTAAAGGCAATTTAGAACGGTCTCTTAGATTTTATTATTTCGTTGCTGGTACTGGGTTGTATAAGTGGTTTATTTCAGAGACGGGGATACATTAAGTGGCAATTTCATGCTTCATTTTATTTGTGAAGTTTTAATTGAAGGTGTCTATGTTGTTATATTGTATTTTTGTTGTGTCTGTTTGGTTGCAGAGTTTTATGAACAGCTGCCAGTTTGATTTGTTTTACAATTAAAATTTGTTAGCAGGGTATCTTGGTCTAAAAACTTGTCGTTAGCTTGTGAAGATTTATTTAGTAAATTTAAGGATATTTTGCTAGGGCCGTCACCACTTGCCCAGGTGCCATTATGAACTTCCCAGCTTGTCGTTTTGGAAAGTTTGACTGTAGTTATTGAACTGTCCACTGCAGTTGGATGTTTGTGATAGCTAGTTGGGTAAATTGTTTGTATAATTGTTGTGCCCAAGAGTGGGTGTTGCGCGTGGAAATCCCCGAGGAAATGTGTATTTGGTTTTACGTAGTTGTTAAGAATGTTAAGGTCACCCTTAAAGGGTTTGGTTTGGGTATGATAAATATATATTATAGTTAGTTTTGTTTTATGTATAGTGGTATTTAGTTTGCTTCGAGAGAATTGCATTGGTCATGGGGCTAAGTTTGAATTTGCGTTTAAATGATGGGTTTGGGGTTTACTTTAGACTGTGAATGGCTGTTAGGCAGCTGTAGAAGCATTTTTGTTACACTTTGGACTTGTGAGCAAGACTTTGGAAGTTTTTAGCAGTGGGCTACCTGATGAGAAGGTAAGCTGCTGTCAACTCTATGAGTTTGTTTGTGTTATTGTTGAATACCTTTGATGTGCACACACGGTATTTCATCCAATGTGTAGTAATAAGTGTCACAAAACTGCATAGTTCATTATCAAGCGTTAATGTTTAAAATGTGTTGTTACCATAGAAACTAGCTTCCTCGAGCATATTCGAGAAAAGCTAATTGCATTAATTGGAGCAGGGTGCCAATCAGATCACCCAGGACAATATCAATATAATGGCGTTCAAGTAAAGGAATGTTTTTGCATGTACTGATGTGCTGTCTATTCTCCCTCAACCAGCTGGTGTAAACTACATTAACTAATTGCTTCTTTTCATATTTTATTCCTCAATGTGACCGCCTCCGTGATCTAATGGTAGAGTCCGGGGTTCGATACCAAGCCGCGTCATACCAAAAGACGTTAAAAGATGGTACTTGTTGTTACCCTGTCTGGCGCTCGGCATTAAGGGGCTAAAACAAGGACTGGTCGGCTCGGAGTCAGTATACTGTGTCTGAGTGGGGTATTCATGTTAAACTGCGGCATGGTATCTCAGTGTGCTAGCACTATAAATCGGCATCAGTCCGGACTAGTACAAGCAGCCACACACACACACACACACACACACACACACACACACACACACACACACACACACACACATACACGTGCATGCACGTCGCTATATAAGTGCAATAATCTTGGACGCGACGTTAAACCCCAATTCACCTAACCTCAGCTATTCCTCTGTATAACGGAATATTTAACGATCTTCGCTACACCTGTATATTTTCTGGCTACATCATAATGGGTTTGAACATCTGAATGCCTTTGGGCATAATTGGGGAATTTGATATGAATGTGCGCAGGAGAGATACCTAGCTAGCGATAACATTCACATCAGGTATTCGACCAGACGTGCTATGCATGCTCTATGTGCACAAGCCCTATGGCACGTTAACCTACATTGTTATGAAGCTATTGTCTAGATCAACTTCTAATATTCCAGGACATAGACGGAATAGTTGTTAAATGTTTCGGAGTTTGCTGTGTAGTGTTGCGTCCATTAGTCGTATGAGAGAACAAGATTATCGTTGGTTCGAATCCCAGATTAATCTTGGTAATGATTCGTGGTTTGTCAACACATTATCCGAGCTCATTGGGGTATATCTGTGATAAACGTCTACGTCAATTTGATATTTTCCCCCACATTACACACACACGCCATGAAAAACCGTTCAAAGCTGGGATAATACCCACCTCACGTTTCTGTTAATTGCAATGCATTGGTGCAGGGGCGGTCGGGTAGCCTGGTGGTTAAAGCGTTCGCTCGTCACGCCGAAGGCCCGGGTTTAATTTCCGACATGGGTACAATTTGTGAAGCCCATTTCTGGTGTCCCCCGCCGGGATATTGCTGGAATATTGCTAAAAGCGGCGTAAAACCATACTGACTCACTCACTCACATTGGTGCAATAATGCATCTCCAGTTATTATGTATACGTATCATTTCCCATTTTGTCTTTTGTGTGCTGGGGGCACGGGTGGCGTCTAAGGCGCCGCGATTCGCAGGGCAGAGTTGCGTCCCTTGGGCACGCCAGAAACCTGATTGTGGGTTCAAATCCCGGTTCGCCCCGATTATGTTTCTCGGTTTGTCAGCATCATTCCCATGCTCGGGGGTTTCACCGAAGTGGTAAACGTCTGAGGCCTGCATCACTTCGGGCGTTCCTCCCACATTAAGCTGACACGCCGTGATATAACTGGAGTTATGTTAATAGCGGCGTTAAACTCAACTCACACAATCACTCACTTTTGTGTGCTACTGGGGTGGATGAATGATTGTTACTGGATTACCGCCGTTGGAACTTGTTTGGATATATTATGAGGTGTCCGCTTAATTCAGCTTATTTAGTCTTCAAAACAACACTATGCTGAGCTACGAAACAGAATATTGTTTGTAGACTTGCGGAGTAATGAGTGACGATATCCTCACTACCATTCATGTATTTCTTTAAGATGTTATCACCACTCTTACGAAGCCCAGGCAAACCAAGAAATAATCTGTGCGACAGAAAATCGAACCCATAATCATAGGTCTCTGGATAACGAATTGCGCCACCTAAGACAACTGGGCAACCCGTACTCCGTAACTCACATTTAAGACCACCGAACAGTATTCGACCCGTGAAGATCCGGGGTAGAATAGGTCTTCAGCAATCCATGCTTGCCGTAAAAGGCGACTATGCTTGTTGGGTGGTCGGGTCTTCAGGCTCGCTGTCTTGGTGGATGCATGTCATCATATCCCAATTGTGTGGATGATGCTCATAATGTCAATCATGAGATTGTCTGGTCGAGACCCCTATTATTTACAGACCGCCGTCATATAGCTGTAATATTGCTGAGTGCAGCGTTAAACGAGAAACAAACATTAAATATTCATATAATTGATCTTTAATGCATGTTTCTAAGATGCCGTCAAAATATATTTATTGATGATATGTACGTATATTTATATCCAGCGAACCGATATGACGATGAAGATGATGATTAGTGCACTCTTGGTTACGTGTGCCATTACCCTGTCTTCCTCGCAAAATCTTACCAACGACGACATCACCAGCATCTGCAAGGCAGTCACGGAACAGGGCAATTGTTCGTCCTGTAACTGGTGTTCTGTGAGGAAAGACGGCTTTCCCTTGACAGTGAAAGACCTGTGCCGAGTACGTAACAGCCCGAGTGATTGCAGCCTGGCTCTTTCAGATTTCCCATGTTCGAACATCACGACCTTCTATAGCCAGTCTTGTTCTGCGCTCAACAGCTGGGCACATAAGATCGTGTGTCCCATTGCTAAGTTGGCTGCTTCCTGCTTTGTAACAAGTAAGTATTATTTATTTATTTTAAAAAAAACATATTATATATATTTGTTTTATTTAAGTACCTTATAAATGAAAATTTAAAAACTTGCGCATATACTCAGGTGAAAATGTGATTTCATACTTCGATAAATGTAAGAGTAAGATCCGGGTAAAATAGGTCTTAAGCAACCCATGCTTGACGTAAAAGGCAATGTTGTAGTTCTGGTTCGCCTGATGACGAGTGCATGCTGGATAATGCTGTGTATGTGGAATATTAGACCAATGTACGTACGCCTCAGTGTTTGCTCGTTTTGTTATATACGACACTGGAATGCATCTCATAAAACACTACGACAGTTACGATCCATTTATGGTCAGGAAATACCGAGAGAAAAATAAACACGCGGACTTCCATGTTGAATTTTACCGCGGTTTGGCATCCAGGACGTGTCGTATAGGTATGCAACCCGTGAAGATCCGGGGTACAATAGGTCTTCATGCTTGCCGTAAAAGACGACTATGCTTGTAAGAGGCGACTAACGGGATCGGGTGGTCAGGCACGCTGACTTGGTTGATGCATGTCATCGATCCAAATTGAGTGGATCGATGCGCATGATATTAATCACTGGATTGCCTGGTCCAGACTCGATTATTTACAGACCGCCTCCATATAGCTTGAATATTGCTGGGTGCGGCGATAAACAACAAACAAACAACATCTACATGTAATCTTTATGGTGTATTTTATACATACTGGTACGATATTCAGGTTTGTGCATTTTTATCGGTTTTGTAATACAGGATGACAGGAAGACCGGAAAGGCATAACATGTGAGTTTAAGGGAAGGATACATATTATCTTTTACTTTACGTTTATATACTATAGGTTCTAGTATCTGCTCAAATGCAGTTTCATTTGATTCCCGACCAGTGGATCCGTATGCATTCCAGTTATCATTCTCAGCTCCATGGGGAGTATAACCCAAACTGCCTAGGGGCGCTAGAAGGTTTTTACGTCCACCTCACATACCGGGTACCCATTTCCTGCTAAATGAACAGAGGCACCTTTGAACTAAGTCACTTGCCAAGGGTGAGACCACAAGTTTTGACACTTGGGTTTCGGATGTATGCACGTATTTGTGTTTCCACCATCTGGTCTTCTACCATTAGTATTAGTATCATATATCATTTTAACTGTAAATAATTACGAAATGTATTAGTTTCACAAATTTAAGCAATTCTAATTGGCAGTGGGAATATGAAAACCTGTGCATATAATCCGGTGAATACACAAAATTCGTACTTCGATAAATGTAAGTTTGGACGGAAGAAGGAACTGCGTTCCAGTTGACAAGTCACTTGATAAACTCTATATAAGGTCGGTGTCAGGGATTTCCTGTTGTTAAACTTGGACGAAAAGGTTCACAAATACAGACATGAAATAATTATATATTGCAAAATACCAGTGTTGTTATTTTAGATTTGCATGGAATTTTCGGGTCGTGATAAAGAGCATTCCCTTCTATTGCCTTCTATTGCCCTTGACGCTTGTCGTGTATTCTTGCGAATGTCTCGATGTGGACGTATATCAAAACCATTTCTTCTGCAACGAACTTGACAGTTAGTTAATAAAAGCGACATAAACAGACTCCAATTATATACGGAAGATACCAGGTGTTCGCGAAAAGGTGAGTGTATCCTGCCCCACCTGTATTACCAAGCAACCCACGTTTGCTATAAAAGGCATCTATGCTTGTCGGCAGAAGCGACTAACGGGATCGGGTGGTCAGGCTCGCTGACTTGGTTTGTGCATGTCATCGTGTCCCGATCCCGATGCTCATGATGTCGATCACTGGATTGACTGGTGCAGACTTGATTATTTACAGACCGCCGTCATATAGCTGGAATATTGCTGAGTGCGGCGTTAAACAACAAACAAACAAACCAAACAGAAACACATGCAAAGGCAAGTCAGTAGTTCACCTGAAACAAAACATTGGGACACATGGTGAAAAGTCAAAACAGGGAATTGCATCAGTCATAACTTTTGGCACTGATGCATCAAGTATGGAAACGTCCTCCACATGACCAGCATGATACAATTTTTGAAAACTTTGCAGAGGCCTTCAATGTTGTAACTTGATAAAACAACTTGAGATAAGATATGGCATAAATTAGTTACACACACACACACACACACACACACACACACACACACACACACACACACAGCTGGAGCCCTTGTTACGATCACGCGGTGTCGCCTAGTACCACGTCACAATCAAATGACATCACTAACATCTCTGCCCCTGCGTTGGTTAGCTTTACCTTTTTAACTCCACACACGGGTTATAATGTTTACAAACTGAAATTGTAGGCAGATTTACTTTGTGTGATACATAGAATCACTGGTGCTTTCCAATCTCAAATGTATAAGACTGGTTGACAAATGTAAACTTATAGATACAGATATTCTGTATATCCCGACGTTACCTACTGACTAGAACAATGTTTGTTTCTCCACGTGGTCGCATGTGGTAAATCGTGTCGTACGATGCAGTGAGCAAGTAATTGAAAGTGTAGACACACAACTACTGACAAAGAACATTGCCCAAACATGTCATAACATAATAATATTTCGGTGTCTCTATGTCGTGATATGAGTATGTCAAGCAAACACAACTGTGTCTGGTTGGAAAATTAATACAGGATACGTATTTAATGGCACATGGAAATATACAGTATGCTGTATGTGTGAAGCCCACTTCTGGTGTCCCCCGCCTGATTTTGCTGGAATATTGCTAAAAGAGGCGTAAAACCATACTCACTCACTCAGTTGTCCAGATTAGTCTGAGAGTTTAATTTTATTAAGAATATGTGATATCAATTGAATATCATATACCATATATGAGTAATTTAGGATAAGGCGAAGACTATAAATGTTTTAAGTATGTGGTTATTGAATTGTATTGATATTATGACAGGCATTGCAAAATGAATTTTACCAAAGAAAATAATCAATTACTTATTCATGTCAAAAGACATCGTCAAAATTATTTAGATGGCAAACCAGAACGAAAAACGCGGATAAATAATCTGCATCAACACAAATGCACAATCCATTTTATGTCGCCAAATGAGTGAGTGAGTGAGTATGGTTTTACGCCGCTTTTAGCAATATTCCAGCAATATCACGGCGGGGGACACCAGAAAGTCGCCAAATGAACGCTCATGACGCTCCATGCGTCCCAAACAAATTTCACGTTTTTGCCCAGCAAGTTAGTGAGAGGGGCTGCCACATGTGAGACATTTCGACAAAATTTATGGTAGTAACCAGCCATACCCAGAAATCTCATAAGTTCCTGTTTGTTTTTTGTGGAACTTGGAATTTTGAAATAGCTTCTACCTTTGATTGTACGGGCTGTAGCTGACCTTTGCTTATGGACATTCACTTGTCACTAAACTTGTAGTCACCTTGTCTGCAGTGAGTCTCTCGAAGAAGGCACGGATCCTCTTCAGGTGTTCGTCCCACCCCATGGAATTGTTCATACTATCGTCAGCATAGGCTTTGACACCCACAAGATTGGCTGTCTTTGTCCAGCATTTATTGAATTTCCTTCTACAGAGTTTAAAGCTTGATTGGATTCATCCGGTAGGGGTGTTGTTTCACAGGCACATCGTCACCTACATCTACATCATGACATACTACATCCGTACGGCCAGATACATCCGTGGACAAGTGAGGAATCTCTTGAATTAACTCTGACACTTGAGCCTTTAGCTCAAATGATTAATGACTAAACTTAGTATCCAAGTTAGCTAAAACGTCAGAATTGTTTTGCTTAGGGCTACCATAATCAATGCCATCAAACTTGACAAAGTCACAATTCTTATCAGTATCACAACCTAATGCAATATCCACAGGAGAAACAGTGGCAACACACTGAGCAGGTACATTGTCATGTAATTCATGTTACTTTCTAATCATATTGACATGACAAAGCTGTGTCTGTTTACGACGGTCCGGTGTTTGTACAACATAGTCAGTATCACTGACCTTTCTGGCAATAACATAGGGACCGTTCTGCCTAGCACGTAATGGTTGACCAGGGATTTGCAAAAACACTAAGACGTTATTGCCAGGACTGAAGTTTCTCTTGAGACTTTTTGTCATAATGTACTTTCATTTTGTCCTGGGATTCCTTCAAGTTATCCTCAGCAACTTCAAGCTTTTGTAAGCCTAGCCCCAAATGATAAGACATGCTCCAACAAACTCATTTCAGACCTATCACTGAGCCAATGTTCCTTTAAGTCCACTAATAGTATGGCCAAAGACAAGGTGATAAAAACTAAAACCTCACAGCAAACAACAACAAATGAATGCCTCTATCCCAACCTTTCTCAGTCTCAAAACAGTAAGTCCTTATCATATTCTTAAGAGTCTTGTCTCTCTAAAGCTCCTTGAGATTCAGGGTGATATGCACGAGGCTTAACCTGAGTTATGCCTAACTGGTGCATAGCTTGTTGCAAAACACCTACCATGAAATTAGAGCCCTGATCTGACTGTATAATCTTAGCAAACCAACCATGGTGAAGAACTTTATCAAAGCCTTGATTATAACCTGAGCTGTAAGTTTCCCAGTGGAAATCTTGTGGAAGCATACATGATAGTAAACATGTACTGATTTGCTGACTTAGTTTTAGGCAAAGGACCAATACAATCAATGGTAACCCTGCTGGAAGGTTCTTCAAAGGCTGGAATGGGTTTAAAAGATGCTACTGGAATTTTCTGATTAGGTTTGCCAACCATTTGACACACATGGCATGTTTTGCAAATTCAGTCACATCATGCCGCAAATTAGGCCAAAATGGGACAGAATTTTGTCACAAGTTTTGTTTATCTGCCAAAGGAGTTTCTTGTGCCAAACTCAAAACATGCTTTCGATATGAATTTGGAAGGACAATTTGATGGACGACCTTCCGTTCATTATCAGCAGGTACATTTGGCAGCCTGCATGTCCT